GAGTTGGTTGCTTAGAACACCTAACCAAAAAGTTTCCATTCTTATTGGGCAACATCGCCTCGCATAATAATGTCGATTAACCTTATGCAAAAAACGATAATTTAAAAAGTTTATGTGCTCTCACATTAAACACTTGCCGCTTCGATTCTTGACTGGATGTTACACTGACGTTAATTATCATTTAGTTGAAAATGTCAAGGAGAGGAGCAAGCTCTAAATAAATTATAATACGGATTGTTGTTTCCTGCATTTTAATTACAGATGAGTAGAGACCGGAGTTATAGGCACTTAAAATGCAATATGGACCTTAATTTTATTTTAATTTTAAACTGTGAAGTAAATATGCAACATTTTTCCAAAACAGTCGAAAAAGGTAAAAACATGTTTTGATGCATTTTGCTTAGAATCCGGTCTCTGCAAATAAGCAAAAGTTGTAGGTAAACGTGTTTTTTTAATCATTTATTTAATTTTAACTGTCGAGCGAAGGTAATGAAAGTGCAACTCGATATTTGTGGATTTGTTACTTATTTTTAAAATTCTATGTTGAGTGTGCAATATAAGATTTACATTTAAAACGTGTTATTTTTGTAATGACTTTTAAATTTTAGTATGTTACACTTATAAGACAACTTTATGGCGAAAAAAATTGAATAATTTTTGGTGAAAGTGTCATTTTTTTAATTCTAAATAAAAAGTTACATATAAGCTTCAAAAAACCTTTATGTATCACATGACCGCACTTCCCCTTAAAAAAATGTTTGACAGTACATAATAACTCGTTTTCACAACTCACTTAAATATTTTAAATAACACTGCATATAGAAATGTCACTGCCACTGTCAAAAGTGAAAAGCGTTACCATGGAAACCAACTATCAACAACTTGCAATGTTGTCGCGTTGAAATCCTATTTTTTACGTTTTATAGTCGGCCAAAATATTTTTAAAAGTTTTAATACAACAATGTTCTATTGTCTCCCAGCAATGTATAAAGCTTCTACGTTTAACCTAGGCGAGAGTTCTGGGTATTTAAATAATATGAGTATGAGTATAAGAACGTATGGCAGGCCCCATCGGCTACGCCTTACACTGATCTTCCAGGGTTATTTTACCCCCTTTTGGTTCCATACGTATTCCGCCACTGGACAGCGTTACCTGTGTTTGGTGGATACGAATTTTGTCGCCTGGCCGACCTTACGCCCGATTTAGGCTAGTGGAGTGTAGGACAAGGAGGGACAACAGTTGGTTTTTGGGAGCCTTGGTATTTAAAGAATAGGTAGTGTTTTTTTAAATCAAATGCAATAAGAAAAATAATAATAATAATAACGGTCCATCAAATCTTGAACGTTTTTAGGATCTAAAAACGAATAAATAGGAATAAAAGGATTGGCTGTGTCAGGTGAAATCGTGGATAAAAACCGTAAAACCTTGCAGCAAATTGTAGCAACAAGCATCGAACAAAACGTTTCTACGAACGCATAACGCAGCAGCATCGACGTTGGCTACGAGTCGTAGAATTTAATAGTGATAGTGGCTATCGGCGAAAAAAGGCGCAATTTCGAATGCCGAAGTGTGCAACCGGCTACACTTTAGCCATTATTGGAATCCTGAACTAGATCATCGCGGAGCGTTATATGTACCGCACGCTGCAAAAACACTGAAGAGCAGCAGATCTTCTTCTTACCGATACTAATACGGCAGTCTCAACAGGTGTCACAAGTGACTAAGAACACAGGAAACGCATCTGAAAGTTTATTGCCCATCTAATCTATCTAGCGAAGAACTTTCAAATACGTATTGTTGCACACTGTAACCAAGTACGGGTTTTATTAGTCGAATTTAAAAACAAGCAATGCTGGACCTAAAATATACTTTAAAATCTTTTAAATTAAATACTTATTCATTATTTTGTAAGCAATGTAGTAAAGTCTTTTTTTAAATTTCCTTCGAACATTTTAAAATGTTTGCCCCGGAAACCAACTATTCGTTCAATGATAAAAATGGTATCCTTGTGGCAAAAGAATACATATATTTGGCAAATATTGAAGCAATTCAAAGAAACTGTATTTATTTTAAATCCGTTTACCTTCGAATAAGATAATTGCTGCATTTAGGTGTAATTTTCGATTCTTTTGACATTCAATTACTTTACTAAATTCATGTTTATTAGTAACAAAAACAAATTATTAAATGATCTCAAAGAAATTACGTTTTGCTTTAAACCCTTCATTCATTTGGACCCCATTCTTTTGAGGGAATGGCAGATTTCTTTGGGAAAAAGGTTTCTTTTTTTCAGTATTGTCCCAGATCTTCAATTAAATGAGGCTGAGTTTTGTAGATTTTAAATGACCCCATAAGTCAGTGGTGTCAAATCTGGAGATATAAGATGCCATTCTACTACTTACATCTTGCTAAAAATGTAATTTATTTTTATTCAAAGCTAGTTTCTCATTCTCTCCTCTTCGATTTTTCAGTTCATTATTATTGGTTGTTTTACCCAACATTTTAAAACAAATTTGAACATTTTGGTCAATAAATAAAGGACCAACAATAAAATCTTCCAAAACTTTTTCAGGATACTGGGTTTGATTTATCTGATGAGCTGAGAATTTTCATTGCTCCAATAACCACAATTTTGTTTGTTAACATTTCCATTTAGATAAAAAGTACACTCATCGCTGAAGCAAATGTTTTTTAGTATTTGGATCTGATTTGTAATTTTATTTCTCATGTATTCACAAAATTCTAAACGCCTGTCTGCATCATCATCGCCATATTGTTGTTGTAATATGAATTTTGAATGGGTGGAATTTGTGATGTTTCAACATCTTCCTAACAGACTCAGGGTAAAGCCCTGTTGTGACATCTACACCAAACGTCAAGAACCTCAATATTGGTGGGTTCATCATGACACTCACAAAGAAGTGTTGACGCTCTTGAAAACCGAATGCGTAAACTGTTTACACCCAAAATGAGAAAACAGTATGTATTGTACCTACTCATTACCTGAAAAAAGCGTATTACCTACTGACTGATATGTATGATTAATTACAATCAAAAAAATTAATAGCAGGCATTAAAAGTCGCCAGTAGCCATAAATAATGTTAAATCAATCTTCAAGTTGTATAGCTATACTTAGAAGTGTAATACCATGTAATTAAAATTTCGTTGCTATCATATTTCTAAGGTTTGACCTTAATATGGCCGTTGACCAGTTGGCAGTATGTAATTAAAAGGAAAGCAAGTGCGCAAGGAATTTTTTGGATCGCCATTTTAATTCCAGCCGCGTAACGTTTTGATGTTGCTTTAAATCGACAACTGTCTCAATCCTCGAGTGACGAGTGTGAAATAGTTTCTTCAGGCATTATATTTATTTAGAATAGCCGGCGTCGCACATACAAATCGCATCTGATGGCCTTCTAAGGGCCGAGACAAGGAAAAACGACACTTGTACACGGACGAGAAATGGCAGATTTGACAGAAATACGCTCATTTTATGGAAGAATGATTTTGCTTCTTTTAATGGCAAAACTATACACTAATGGGAGTAAAAAAACGACGGCCGCATATTTCACGTGTTCGTGGAATAGCGCGTGGGAAAAAACATATATTCACAGTGTATGCAGATTTTTCGTCGATCCGCCATATCTAACCTTAATCTGGGTCGGTCGTCATTTTATCGAGATGATACGTTTTAATCATCTTATGTTTTGTACATGTTTTTTCTTCTTTGGCAAGCACAATACCAATAGTTGTGGGAAATTAAATTTCAAACCTAAAAAAGAGGACCTCCCGGGAATACAATGTCTTGTGTAATTACACATTTACTTTGGGGAATGTGTGAACTCATTGATATTAAAAACTCATTACTCACACTTTTTAAATTTAATGTGTTATACTTACAGTTGGTTTTAAACAATAAATCAAATATTTCAACATTATTTTCTCATTTCGCGTATAATTATGTAGAAAATTTAATTTTCACACCAAATGTGTTACTTTTTTTGCTGGGATTGACGTTGAAATTTCAAAGACTTTTAAAACACTATTAACGGTACTTCTTGTATCCGGTTACATAAAATGCGTTTATAACTACATATAGTATACACTGAAGGGTAAATACATACTTCTGAAGCAGCAAATGTAAAAATATTTAAGCTAAGACCGTTTTTTTTTTATTTTTCCCCCTCTTTTTTTGCAAATTCGAAGAGATTATGATTCTATCCTCCGTGAATCTGTTTTTGGTTTAAATTTTATGCAACGGATGGCTCATAAATCATTTTAAATAAGCAAAAACCTCTGTTTACGACATTATAGATGCATGTGATTCCTGAAGGTCAGTTAGAATTTATATGCAGATGAGAGTGTTGCTGTTTTATAATTCAAAAGTTTAAGTTCATTAATTTGCTATTTAAAAACCTATCCACCGTGAAGAGTAATATATCAGTAAGTAGATTTTTTTTATAAATATTTTATGTGAACAATAGTATTTTAAAAAAATATTAAGGTGTCAAAAGATGCAATTACTTATTGTTAACACTTTTTAATTTTATTAAAACCTCATTAAAAAGTCTTTTAAAATAAACTAAAAAACAGATAATGATCATTACACCAATAAATATATCTTCGTATAATAAATTAAAAAGTAAGAATTTTCCATACGAAATAAAAACTATTCCAAGGTGCAAATCACGCGTACTGTTCATTATATTTAAATGTTTGATCTTTAAGTTCTTATGTGTGTTTTTATTTCGACCGAAGCATCACTAACGTGTGAATCTCCCATTTCGTAATCTAATATGTGTTTTTGCCATGCCGTAATTACTAGTTTCCTTTAAAATTATGCTCAATTATCCTTTCGAGCGTTTTACTCGAAGACAATATCATAAACTGGAGCAAAATAGTTTTGCTCGACAAAAAACACAATTTCTATGACTTTCTTCAGTTCAGTTTTCGTTGGGCCACCCAGTATACAATAGACATTTATGTGCTCAAAAACTTTTATTTATATAAATTTACACTAGTTTCCTCATATTTGAGTATCTGTAAAATTTTTATTTCAGCTTCGCATCGTCTTCTATACGGTAATCTCCTGATAGCTTCTTCAACCATCAATAAAAATCCGTCTACTGCATCTGGTTTGGGTTTGGTGTCTTTCTCTATGGAGTAAAGTTCATGGTGCAACTCGTCTAGGTGAAATGCTTTGTAAGAAGGTTCACTGGGACTTGAGGTTGAGCTTTCGCAAAATGAGGTTGTGCCTTCCCAACTGGCCGCCCCATCTGAAGCATCTGATGATAAAAAAATTATAGTAATATTTTGGATTGAATAAAAATAACTTACGTTTAACGGAGACAAGATTTTGGTCATCGACTACATAGAAGTGTGGTGCACCGGGTTGTATTCTTTCCTTCAAGCATTTGTGATGCCTGTATTCGTCAAATATTTTTGAAAAACAGTGCTTACAACGTGGTACATTTTCTTCCTGCATTTTTTTGGTGTGATCTTTGCAACAATAAAATTAAGAATGCCTTAATATAGGAGAAGTTCAATATTTTATATGTAAAATTGCCTCGGGAGGTACTTTTTGATTTACCTCAACAAAATAATTTACCTTTGAAACAGTACTTAATAACAATTATTCTTTTTGACCTGAAAAATTTAAATATGTTACCAGACTTTATCGAGGTTTTTGATAAATAAAAATACCATTGTAAATGAAGTCATGAACAAAAATAAAGATTTTTGAAGGAATGGTTTGACCAGGTTTTGGCAGGCCATATATATATATATATATATATATATATATATATATATATATATATATCTAAAAACTACAAGGTTTTTTGCTAAATACTATGAGTAATGTGTACAAATGATTGGTGAATGTACTAATTCGCAACAAAGTAAGATGATGCGATAATAAGTTAAAATGATGGTAGTAGTCGAGTTTAGCAATAAAAGTGGATTTATGGCGTTTACGGCATTGATCTAGATCACATATTAAATAAAGTCGTTTTGTAAAGCAGTTTTGTCGGCAATTATTTACAATTAACGAATGATCTAATGGTGGATAATTGTGGCAATAATCTTTATACACAATAAGCCCAATAAATTGAGTTTTTGTTCGTTTCTTTCTCTCGTTTAGTCCGACGTTTGCCTTAAACATATTATACCAGATTCAGTTGAATTAAATCGATTCGTTTTTGTTACTTCTTCTTCTTCCTCAATACTTGGCAAACATATTTACGGTCTCGGATTTATTTCCTACCATTCTTAATTAACAATCAACGATTTCCACATTAAATAAATTGCTCACTACCATTTATTAAATTTCGTCTAGGTAACTCTTTTTTAACTCTAACTTTAGATTAAATATATTTTACACTATTTAGTCACAATGTAACTATAATTATAAAAACATTTACAAAATTAGAGTAGATATTTTTACTAAATTAATTAAATTATAATTTTTTAGAGTTACTTTTAAATCTGGTACATGGGACAGTTTTATCTAAATATTTCTAATAAATTCTTATTAGTGCATATTTTAACTCTAAAATGTAAAGATTTAACTCTATTTAGAGTGATTGGCTCACTAGCGTACATTTGTCCATTGTTTCATTGAAATTTGGCAGTGTGACAGTGATTTTGTGTGCATTATTAGTATTTGTAAGTACGTTATTATTATGGTTTTATTTATGTATTTGGGGTTAATTGAATAGTTAACACGTTGCAAAGACATAAATAAAATAATCATTAATAATAAAACGTCTTAAATTCTTGTATACTAGTATACAATGTACTATACATTCATTATAAAATACCTATATTATAAAATTATCATACTCTATACTAAAGAGTTTATAGGTGTACACGATTATAACCTACCTTAATATTTTATAATACATTTTTTATAAATTTAATAATTGGTTTGTATACCCTTTCCCATTAAAAACACGATATAGTGTAAATTAAAAGTTATTTACACTAAATATATTTAAAAATAATGAATCATTTAATCTATTTTTTTTAATATCTTATTATCATAGAGTAGATTTAACACTAAAATGTGTAAATTTTTCTCTAGATTTAATCTTATTTAGTAAACATTTTAAATTATTTAGATGAATTTAGTGCTAAATTAACCATTTTTAAGTGGTTATTAAAAATAGCACTATTTTTGGTTACACTGCAATGCACACTACTGTTAGTGTAAATATCCAAATCTAAATAAGTTGGTTGTATATACCACCTAATTAGTGAACTTAGGGTTTAATATTTACTCTATTTTTTTACTGTGTATAAAGCTGTATTGAGATTTTTCTATGCAGGTAACAACGAAAACTGCAAAACATCACTTTTTAACCATTATACAAAAAAATTACCTTTAGTTCATAAACAAGTTTAAAAAAACGTTATTCAAGTTAGATTTTTACCTACACTGTTCAAAATTTCATGACCATTTTAACACCAAATTAACACCATACATGGTCTATATCGATACAAACCAAAATGGTGTTAAATATGCTTCGTTGGTCCAGTGTAAATTCAAATACTAAAATGGTGTAAATTTAACTTTCACACAGTATTAAAATGAATTTTACCTGGTGTAAAATTTACACCTGTAAATTGAACTCCTTTTCAGTGTTAAATATTATGTGTTTTTGGTCAAATTAAATCATACTAAACAGAAAAAAAGGAAAAAAAAAGAAACAGAAAGTTCCTTGACGCATTACAAGTATATTACCATTGGTATTATTCCAGAAAATTGAACCTTCAACTCGCTAGAGATAATGTTTTTAATGCGTTCCACCAACATAAAATAATTCAAGTATTAACAGCTGTTTCAACCTATTTAAGGTCTCTTTAGTATCGAACAACTTGTAGTGTCACACCAAAGCAAAGGACTACCTGAGCTTATATACTCTTCATGTAAGTCAACAGAGGCGAGATTTAAGAACATCACGTGATCCACACCGCCTTTGCCGCGATCGGTACACACTATGCAACAAGGAATGCACGGCAAATTGTTTTAATCGTTTTAACAGAGTGCTTTAGTTTTAAGTAACTCTTATTTTATAAACAACATATTTAGTAAACTGAACCATACAGCGGGTTGGTTTCTGGGTTAATTTAACCAATTTAAAAAAAATAAAATAAATGTCTGGTTTAGTACAGTCAAACTAATCTTTGTTTATATTAACCTTCCCACAGTTGATTTAAATAAATACTTATGGGTCAACTAAATTAATATAGTTAAATGAACTATTCCTTTTTTTCTGTGTATACACCTATAGGTGCACTTCTGAAATAATTTTAGGTAAACACCGTTTTGGTGTTTGCTGTATGTAACATTTTCAACCATAATTCATGGTGTTATATTAACACCACTTGGTGTTGGATTTTGACACCATTTTAAGATTACTCTTCACACCACAGATATTTTAAACAGTGTATTACTATTTTATTTAACCATGGTTACTGCAGTTGTGCTTCTTGCTAGGGTTTGTAATGATTTGTAATAGTAATACAATATTTTTACTCATTCATTTTATTTATTAATCTCATACACAAATAAATGTTGATATCGCCATCATCTAGTGTCTCTGGCTGGTGTCTCTGGAACGCAGATTGATGCCGTTGCGCTTCATCTCCTTGGTGATGGAATGCGGGAGGTGACCGGAAACGGAAATGGCGTAGACCCCCGGGCAAAAGGTGGCGATCCTCTGCCACTTGGCCACCCAGCTCTCCGCCGGGCTCATCGATGCCACCATTCCGTCGAAATTTTTCGAAGTGCAGTCCAAGACGTTGTCGCTGTTGTTGCGCATGCGCAGGAAATCCTCGCAGTTCTCGCAGCCGTCGTTCTCGAACTGATCGAAGGATTTGATCAGGGAGCAGCTGAGGCAGGCTCTAAGACCGCGCAGGTCTTTCGGAATCGAAGAGTAGCTCATCTCGAATCAAGATTACCAATGAAACGTTAGGCAATGTGTTTTTCTTTTATTGTTTTCAAAAATACCTCATTGATACCCCTAAGTTTACCTTAGGGTGTTGGAGGTAAAATGCACCTGATAAAGGAGTAAATCCCTACTGAGAAAATAATTAGCGTGTTCTTTCTATACACACTGTTATAAAATCAGATTTTGTAAAGGTAATATTTAATTTTGTAAGCATTTTGTTAATGTTTAACAAATTAAAAAATGATTTCAAACTTTATCTAATAACACAGTTATTGCAGTACTGTTTTTTTTAATATTAGTACAGTACGACCATTCATCCATCTTCTCTCTAAAAATGAAATAGTCAAAATTCTACTATTTGAATTAGTACCAGCATTTTTTACTAATAAAATAGTCGTTTTCCCTTTTAAATAGTTATTTTTTACTACGTAAATAGTTAAAGTCAAAGTCACCATCTTTGACTATTTCTGAGAGTTAAAAGTAACTAATTTTTTTAATCGTTTGCGGCCAACAACAAAGTATTATTTGAATGAAATGCATATACCTAAGCTCCATGGTTAAATGGCCCATAAAAACAAATAAAACAGCAACACAAATATTCAACTTTAAAATATTATAAACAATATTTATTGACAAATAAAATTGATTTTTATAAGAGCGGCTGATAGCCGAATGGGTTATGACCTTAGCTTGACAAGCTTGACAAGTGACAGATCTGAGTTCAATCCCCGGCTGGGTCAAAACTTTTTTAAAATTTAAATCTACTAATTTAACTATTTCATTCAGTAGAATTTGATTAATTAAACTGTGCGACAAATTTTGACCTTACAATTTGAACTGGGATGAAATGTGGAAAAATTCAATCTATGCAACCCCCAAAACTAATCTTTAAAGGGGTTTTGCTAGTTTAGCTCAAATAATGGAGATATACAGGGTGTTTCTTTTAACTTGAGACAGCTCAATATCTCGAGAAATACGCATTTCACGGAAAAATATCTTAAATAAAAGGTTAATGTGACCAAAGGGGACATTATTTGGTGCTAGCGCTAGCCACCCCCTACCCCTCCTTAAGGGTGAAACGGGGGGTAACTTTCGAAAGTCAAATGGAATGACCCGATTTTTTTCACAGAGTTTGGTAGTACATAAAAAATGAATAACTTTTATTTGAAAGTTTTTTTCAATTTATCAACAGATGGCGCTGTAATTCAAAATTTAAGAAAAAGGGGTTTTCTTGTAAAATGTATTATTTGAAACGTTTGAAAAACAACAATAGTCGGCTCTGAAAACAATTTATAACAAATGTTCGAAATGTCGTCCTTCCATTTCAACACATTTTTGAATGGGGGGTAGCACCAAATAATGTCCCCTTTAGTCACATTAACCTTTTATTTAAGGCATTTTTCCGTGAAATGCGTATTTCTCGAGATATTGAGCTGTCTCAAGTTAAAAGAAACACCCTGTATATCTCCATTATTCAAGCTAAACTGGTAAAACCCCTTAAAGGATTTGTTTTGGGGGTTGCTAAGATTCGATTTTTTCAGATTTGGTCCCAGTTCATTTTTTGTGTTGCACAGTGTTATTAGTGACTGCTTTTTCGTTATGACAATTAGTCAAATATAACTTATAATTAGTTATTTTTGACTAATTCATTTTAAGAGAGTTATATAATATTAGAGTAAACTTAACACAGGGGAATTATTTGTTTTTGTGATCATTGGGGATACCTAATATCAGATTTTTTAATTTATTAATTTCTATTTTATATATATATATATTGATTCTAGTAAATTTAACTTCGTACAATGTAAAATTTTAGATTTATTGTTAAATGAGTGGTTTTCTTGAATTAAATGGTTGGCATAAGTTGAATCTGTTTTTCGATTAATAAAAGATTTTCCATGTTTATTAATTCTGGCTTTTAAATTCCGACCTGTATGGCCTATGTAAGTTTTTGGACAGTCTATAGTTGGTAGATTCCGGATTTTGTATACAAAATTTAAAATCAACAACAAAGATAAAACCATGAAAGATATATCTTTCATGGTTTTATCTTTGTTGTTGATTTTAAATGCAATAGGAATATTATTCTTTTTGAAGAAATTCAACGCATGTCTTGTCTTAGTGCCTAAGTATGTGACAATGTTATAATATTTTTATATATAGCATTTAATCAATCAGGAAATATGATTCTGTCATAGGTACGTTTAAAAGTCAGTGTAACATGGAATTAAATGCTGCTATTTTTTGAGAAAAAGAATGTAAACTATTATGTATTGTTATGTCTGTGTAACTAGGTTTATGGTAAATTTTAAATGTGTAAGTGCTATTCTTTTTTTGGATGGTATACCATCTTATAAGATCTAAAAAGTTAATTCTTCAATGTGAATTTATATTTATTAGGATGAATATCGTTAATAAACTTTATTTGACAATTTATTTGTCTTTTTGTACTTGTGAAACATGTTAGGATGTCATCTACATATCAGTACCAATAAAAGAATTGTTTTATATTAGGATCTAGTTATACATCCAGTAAAGGTCGAAACAATAAAATAATTATTTTTGAATTATTGACATAGGATTTTGTTATTAAATCTACAAAATGTTTTTTATAATTTCAGACTATTTATTTAATTAGTTAACTGATTACAGAAGTTATGTGGACCTGGATTAACATTAAATCTGGTTAATATTTGATTAAAATTAACAAAATTTATTTTACTGTGTATACAGGTCGCACGAACGTTGCAGGTATTCTTTTGTAGAACCATATGTCGAACATTGTGTTTCCAAGTCGCGACTCTCCGCTGCATGTAAAATAAAACCTCTGTTTGCACATGTATTAACAAGTGGTAAAACCTACTTTACAGGTCGTTAATTAAAACACCACGAATGGGATTTTTTTGCTCGAAGAGTTGCAAATTTGGCTTCTGCATACAGCAAAAGTTAAAAGTGATTAGAATTAATTGTTGTTAGTTTTCCAGGCACATATAAAATTGGATATGGCTGCGGCTATCCATTTTGCTCGGGTATCATTAAAAACCTAATTAACTTAGTAAAAGATTGCAAAAAACGATCGAGGTATGTTTCGTGTAATATTTTAACCTAATTAAAACATACATCTTGGAGATAGTGCTCGGCGATAAGGATCAGATGATCTTTGCTTCTTAAATGGCATGCATGTTGTACAACTATAAAATAATATTTATAAAGAGGAGGCATAATAACGCTGGGTGTTATAAACAACGTTTTATTACGCCCCAAGACTATAGTCATTCTGTATTTTTTCCTTTAGCATGCGTTTTCTGTAGCAGCTAATAAATTCTCCCTCCATGCAAATGATTAAAGAATCAAAATTTTTATGGAGAATATAACGTTCTCACACTATCTTGGGTTATGCACAAATAGGGCGGAAAATCGGTCCGAAAAGGCATCGGCAGGTTTATGCAAAAAGAGTTATTGTCCTCGCTAACGATTGATAAATATATTTGTCTCGCGAAAGATTTATAAAATCAAACGTTTTCAATGGGCCTTTCAATGGCAGCAGCGATTTAAATAAAACGCAGACGCACTTCCATAAAAAATGTTTTCTATGCTCCACGTCAACAATTTACCACTACGGTAAAGGTAAGATAGCTGTACTAACGGGTTTGTTGATATTATTAAAAAATATATACACAGTAAAAAAATTTGCCCGTGTAAAAATATTAGAGTTAATTTGTAAGTGTAAAAGTTACACTACAAAATACACTAGGTAGCATTTAGTGCTTATTAACTTTATTAAACACATTTAAAGAATATCAACATTATTCATTGGTACATTCACACTATTTATTATTAAAATAAATCAAAAGGGTAGAAAAACTTAATGCGAGTGTTTATTACCCCTTAATGTGTTAAATAGTGACAAAATGTACACTACAGCGCATGCCAATTTCTTTGTCTGTTTTGATGTTACTAAGAGCTCTTTTTTTTACACTACTAATGCACATTGTATCACAATTAAAGTTAAATTACACCAATTGTGGCAAAATAGACTGAAAAAACTGGTAATAACCAAAATGCGTTTTAAAATGTTTGGTTGGTACCTATCTACCTAAGCAGTTAGATTTTAATTATGGTGAATCCATATTATATTATTTTTTGGTAAGTATTCTACTTCCTTTTTCTTTAAGCCTTAATACTCAATAAATACCAATATTTAAAAGGATACCCGACCTATATTATATATCAATAATTTACGGCAGTAGGTCGGGTACTTGTAACATATAAAAATACATACACACTTGATTTACTTTTTATTTTTAAGCGTAATGGTTGTTATATTAATCTATGCCTACATTTTTATTAATATTATGGAAAATTTGTACACGTGTGGTAAATCCCCGACATACAGCCGCCCGACGCCTCTACCAATGGGATCACCCATTTTTTATAACAGAAAAATGGATTACTGATGAATTCTCAAGATAATTCATTGCTTACAAGTTTACAGCCAGTAAAACATTGCAGTGATCTAAAACTTTTACGTTTTAAGGAACCATTTTGCTTAAGCCAGCCATACGACTCAAATATAAAATTATATTTTAAAAGGCACCGATTTTGATAATCGTGATAGATTTTTGTTCCAAATAAATGTTTCTCTTTATTTAACTTTTCGTTTTATTCATTACCACCAATAGGTAACTACGCGTAGCTACGGTAGTAATAAGTACCTTTCTAAAATTAGAACAATTCCAAAGTAGTGTTAATTTGCACTGAACAAACTGGGATTTTACCCATGAAATGTAGAAGTACACAATTTTAGGTAAACTAACACTTTTTAATACAGTGTAAAATTACTTTATCCTCAGTGCTATAGTGTTAAATCATACTTGCTTACTTGGGAAAAATTACACTACAAACTCTAATTGTAGTGTTATAAAACAACACTATTTAGTGTGGACCTGTGTGAACTCTAATTAGTGTTGCTTAGAGTTGATTTTTTTTACTGT